GATCATTCTGTCGTTTTTGAGATTGCATCCAAGTACTGCATTTCAGACTCTTTTGTTGACCATGATGGCTACTCCATTTCTTCTAAGGGATTCCTGCCCACAGTAGTGAATATAATGGTCATCTGAATTAAATTCACCCATTCCAGTCCATTTTAGTTCGCTGATTCCTAGAATGTCGACATCCACTCTTGCCATCTCCTGTTTGACCACTTCCAATTTGCCTTGATTCATGGACCTAACATTCCAGGTTCCTATGCAATACTGCTCTTTATAGCATCGGACCTTGCTTCCATCACCAGTCACATCCACAACTGGGTATTGTTTTTGATTTGGTTCCATCCCTTCATTCCTTCTGGAGTTATTTCTCCACTGATCTCCAGTAGCATACTGGGCACCTATCGACCTGGGGAGTTCATCTTTCAGTGGCCTATCTTTTTGCCTTTTCATACTGTTCATGGGGTTCTCAAGGCAAGAATACTAAAGTGGTTTGCCATTCCCTTGCTCCAGTGGACCACATTCTGTCAGACCTCTCCACAGTGACCCGACCGTCTTGGGTGGCCCCACACGGCATGGCTTAGTTTCACTGAGTTAGACAAGGCTGTGGTCCTGGGACCAGATTGGCTGGTTTTCTGTGATTATGGTTTAAGTGTGTCCGCCCCTTCAGGTACCCCAATTACATGCACATCGGTTTGCTTGAACTCTCAAGGCTAAATAATACTCATCACACACACACATTTTCTTTATCCATTCACCCAAAGACAGACACTTAGGCAGTTCCCACATCTTGGTTTTTGCGAACAATGAATGCTACAGTGAACATGGGGCACAGACATCTGTTCAAGATCTGATTTCAGTTCCTTTGGATACACAGAAGTGGGATTGCTGGATCACATGGTAGCTTTTGAAAAAAGATTTTTAAGGAACTTTCTTACTATTTTCCATAGAAACTGTACCAATTTACATTTCCACCAACAGAGCACCAGGCTTTCCTTTTCTTCACATCTTTACCAACACTTGCTGTCTCTTCTCTTCTGGATACCAGCCATCCCAGCAGGTGTGGGGTGATGCTCACTGAGGTTCTGACTTTATCTCCTTGATGACTAGTGGTGCTGAACACCTCTTCATGCACCGCTTGAATATCTTCTCTAGAAAAATGTCTGTTAGGCCCTTAGCCCATTGTTTCCCATTGGAGAATGGTGATGATGATAAGAATGGTGATTTCCTACTGATGTATGAGCTCCTATATAGATACTAAACCCTTATCAGATACATGGTTTGCACATGCTTTCCTCCTGTCACAGGCCACCTTCTCAGCGTGTCATTGCTTTCTTCGCTCTGCAGGCCATGTTGGATCCATGTGATCCTACTTGCTTGCTTCTGCTTTTGTTGCCACGTCCAATCACTGCCCAGACCAAAGTCAATACTTTTTTCCTCCATGTGTTCTTAAAGGAGTTTTACAGTTTCAGGTCTTAAGATCTGTAATCCATTTCAAGTTAACGTTTGTGAGAGGCATAAGGCAGGAGTCCAATTTCATTCGTCTCCACGTGGCCATTCAGTGTCCCAGCATCGTTTATTGAGGGGGCTACACTTTCCCCATGGCGTTTCGGTGCCCTTGTCAAACATGAGCCGACACCGTGTGCAGCCTCACTTCTGGGCTCTCAGTTCTGTCCCGCGGTCTATGCGTCTGCGTTCACGCCAGCACCGTGCTGCTTGGGTCCCCGCAGCTGTGTGCTGTAGCTCGGGGGGCCTCCAGCTTCGTCCTTTCTCAAGAGGGCTTTGGCTCTTCTGTGATTCCATACAAACCGCCTTTGTTTTCTATTTCTGTGAGACATGCCATTGGAACTGATATGGATTTCATTGAATCTGTACATAGTTTGGGGTAGTATAGACATTTTAATAATTTTCATTCTTCCAATCCAAGAACATGGGCTCTGTCTCCATTCTTCGTGTCTCCATCCGTTTATCCCATTAACGTCTTCTAGTTTTCAGTGAACAAGTCTTTCAATCCTTTGGTTAAATTTATTCTTAAGTATTGTGTTGTTTTTGATGCTATTGTAAACTGTTTTATTTTTTCAGATATTTCATTTTTGGTGTACAGAAACACAACTGATTTTTTGAATCCTTCAGCTTTATGAACTTGCTCGTTAGTTCTAATAGTTTCTGATGGAATCTTTAGAGTTTTCTCTGTATAAACAGGTCATGTCACATGTAAACAGACAGACTTATGTCTTCCTTTATGACTTGCATACCTTTTATTTTTCTTGTCTGATTATTGTGACTAGAACTTCTAGTACTGTATTAAATACAAGTGGCAAGAGTAGGCACCATCATCTTGTTCTTGATATTAGAAGATAAGCTTTTAACCTTTCATCATTGAGTATAATGTTAGCTGTGGGCTCGTCACATGTGGTCTTTATTATGTGGAGGTATTTTCCTTCCACACACTTTTTATTGAGAGTTTTTAACATTACAGGATGTTGAATTTTGTCAAATGCTCTTCTTGCATCTATTGAGATGATCGTGTATTTATCCTTCATTTTTTTAATGCTATGTATCACATTTATTGATCTGCCTATGTTAAACTACCCTTGTGACTTCAGGATAAATCCCACTGATCATGGTGTTTGATCTTTACGATATGCTGCTGAATTCAGTTTGCTGGTATTTTGTTGAGGATTTTTGCATCTGTGTTCATCTGGATTATTTTCTTTTCTGTATTTCCTATAATTTTCTTTTCCTGTAGTTACTTTGTCTGGTTTGGTATCTGGGTAATGCTTGCCTTGTAAACTGACTTGGAGTATTCCTTTTCCTTCAACTTTTTGTAAGAATTTTCGAAGGATCAGCATTAATTCTTCTTTAAATGTTTGGTAAAATTCACCAATGAAGTCATCTCATCCTGAGTGTGTGTTTCTTTTTTATTTATTTTTTCTTGATTTTTATTGGGGCATAGTTGCTTTACACTGTTGTAAACATAGTTTCGTCTGCACAGCAAAGTGAATCAGCTGTATGTTTGCATATATCTCCTCCTTTTTTAAAATTTCCTTTGCATTCAGGCTCTCGCAGAGCACTGATTCCCTGTGCTCTATCACAGGCTCTCATTAGTTGCCTCTGTTATAACAGTACCAGGCGTGCAGACACGCCAATCCCAGGCTATCACAGGTCCTCATTAGTTGCCTCTGTGATAACAGCACCAGGGGTGCAGACACGCCAACCCCAGGCTCCCAATTCTTCCCACCCCACCTTTCCCCCTTGGCGTCCACATGTCTGTTCTCTACGTCTGTGCCTCTATGTCTGTTCTGCAAATAAGTTTTTCTAGATTCCACATATATGCACTAATATGTTTATTTTTCTCTTTCTGACTTCACTCTGTATGACTCTCTCTTGGCCCATCCATGTCTCTAAAAATGACCCAATTTCATTCCTTTTCATGGCCAAGTAATATTCCATTGTATATATGTACCCCACATCTTCTTTATCCATTTCTCTCTTGACATTTAGGTTGCTTTCATGCCCTGGCTATTGTAAATCATGATGCAGTGAACACTGGGATACATGTGTCTTTTTAAATTACATTTTCTCTGGATACATGCCCAGAAGTTGGGTTGTTGGGTCACTGGGTGCTTCTTTATTTTGAGGTTTTTTGATTACGAATACAACCTTCTTACTCCCTTGTCTATTCAGACTTTCTGTTTCCCCACGAGTCAATCTTGGTAGGTTGTATGTTTCCAGGAACCTATCAGTTTCATATAGGTTACCTATCCTCCTGGCAATAAGTCATATTGGTCTCTTAAGATCCTCTTTATTTCTGTGTTATCAGTTGTAAGATTCCTCTTTCATTTCTGATTCTGATCTTCTATTTTTCCTAGTCCAGCTAATGTTTGTCAGTTTGTTTATTTTTAAAAAAAACCATTAGTTTCATTGATCTTTCCTACTGGTTTTCTGGTCTCTCTTTCACTTGTTTTGCTCTGATCTTCATTATTTCCTTCCTCCACTAACTTTGGGCTTTGTTCTGCAGGTTCCCCCCCCGCCTAGTTTCTTGAGGCATAAATTGAAGGCAGGAGGAGAAGGGGATGACAGAAGATGAGATGGTTGGATGGCATCACCGACTCGATGGACATAATACTGAGCAAGCTCCAGGAGCTGGTGATGGACAGGGAAGCCTGGCGTGCTGCAGTCCATGGGGTCACAAACGGCCTGACACCACTGAGTGACTGAACTGAACATAGCTGAGGCATAAATATAGGTGGCTTACTTTAAGTCTTTCTGTTTTCTTATTGCGAGTGTTTGTGGCTGAAACGCCCCTGTAGCCACAGGCTTTGGTGTGTCGCGTTTCCATTGTCCTCCTGTTTCAGAATCTTTTTTCCTTTCAATTTCTTATTTGACCATTGGTTGTTCAGGAGTATACTATTTGAGTTCCACATTTTTGTGAAATTCTAGCTTACCTCCTGTTGCTGATTTCTAGTTTCACACCATTTCAGTCAAAAAAGATACTTAACATGATTTCTATCATCTTAAATTTGTTAAGACTTGTTTTGTGATCTAACATGATCTGTGCTGAAGAATGTGCATTTTCCTCCACTGAAAGGACCGTTCTGAGGTGTCAATTAGGCTCTTCTTGCTCAGTCCCAATACATCCACATTGAACTTCTGTCTGGGTGACCTACCCACGCTGAAAGTGGGTTATTAAAGCCCCCACCGCTGTTGTGGTGCTGTTTCTGCTTTCAGATTTGCTGGTATTTGCCTGATACAGGCAAGTGCTCCAATCCTGGGTGCATACATATGTACAACGGTTATGTTCTCTTTAATGAACTGATCCAGTTATCATTAATGACCTACTGACGGAAAAATCACATCATTTCAACCATGTGAAACGCACTTTAAAAACAGAAGAAGGAAATTTACCAACAACGCAACAGTTCAGGCCCCCTGGCGAGGGGCTTCTGAATTCCGTGCCGGATTTTGGCTTTTTACCTCTCGGTCACAATGAGCAGGAGCAGGGCTTCCAGCCGGGACTACTTACTTCGCTGTCCATCTTCTTCAGGTCTGAGAGGCAATCAGAGGCGATATCCCAGCATTTCAAGTTCAGAGAAAGATGAGATAATTCAAAAAGCAAAATCATTCTGGAAACAAATGAAACAGCATTAGGTCAATAGGAGGCAACAAGACACACCGCCTGCGGGTGGAATAAGCCTTCAGCCGTCACTCTGGGAGGCAAGAACAAAATGGAAGAGAAAAGGAATCCTACCGCGAGGGTTCCCAAGCCCGGCCGCCTGGGCCCTGGCGTGGGATTTGGAGGGACCTCCCCTGTCTCAGGGCGGATGCAGGCGCAGCTTTGAGTCCCGGGCGGCCCCACCTGAGCCCCGGGGCAGGGGAGCAGCGAGGGAGGACATTTCCTCCAGGCGGCGAGAGCGGTCATAGCGGCCAATCAGGTCTCCGCAGAAACCAACAGGCTGGCGCTAACGAGTGGAGAGAAACGCAAAGGACCTCCCGGAGGAGCGTAAGCAACTCCAAAAAAAAAAAAGAAAACAAGCCGGAGAATGAGCCCCCTGAATTTAAGGCTTAACAAACAACTAGCGGAATCAGGGCAGTGGCTCTGCGGGGAGACGGGCCGGGCTTCCCAGCCTAACCCCCTCATGTCTGGACGTGGCGGTTCTCTGCTGGGTGGGGACCTGTCCTGCACGGGGTGGTTGCGGAGCAGTGTCCCCAGACACTGTGGCCAGGACACACGCTCCGCCCGTGGGCAGCTCCGCCCAGGTGCGCAGGCCGCGCCCCGCCCCTCCCGGCGACGGGGACCCAGCCCCGCCCACTCCCGCGCCCATCAGCACTACCCCTCGCCTTCAGCTGGCGTGCAAACGGAAGCTTCTTGCTGAAGCAGGAGGTGAGGGGTCACGGGGGTCTGGCGGAGGAAAAGCCTCAGCCCCAGCTGGCAGGCAGGTGAGCCTTAGCTCTGCCCCCGAGTCCCGCGTGCCTCTGGCGGCTCTGCGCTGTGCGGACGCCTCTGGGGTCGTCACAGACCTCCCCCGTGTGCAGCCCCCACAGGGAGTTCCAACTGCGCGCCGTGGAGCTGGGCTGTCTGCTTTGTTTCCAGTCTCAAAGACCCTTCTCAGCTCAGCGGGTATTGTCCTGTATCTCGCCTCCCCGCCCCCTTCCTTTGCAGGAGACGGCACCTCCCTTCCCTGCATGGACAGGAGGTCCTGGCCCTGCGCCCAGCCCCACCCAGCTCCACCCAGTCCGGACCACCAAGGGCCCTGGCGAGGCCTCCAGGCCCAAGCCCCTCTGGCCTTCCCAGAGGTAAGAAGAGAGCCCACGAAGGTACCCATCACTGATTGTCAGTCCTTTTTTGGCTTTAAACTCATAGACCTGTTTTTTCCCACCCAGAGTTCCAGACTCTGAAGCCCAGCTGGGGAGGGGTCAGAGGGTCCCCGGATGACACCTGGAGCCTCTGAGGCCCTGGGGCTGAGGGGGGGCCCGACCCCACAGACGGCCGCTGCGAGCAGCTGAGCCCGGGACCTGGCTAGCAGGGAACACGCGCCTTCCACGTTTGGGAGCAGTGACGGAGCTGATCGCACTGGAACCGCAGCAGAAGACGCTGTGTCCTCTCGGCCACAGCACATAAACTGGCAACAGGGATGCCACAGGCACGCAGCTGGGCGGCCACAGAATCCGGGGCAGGTGCAGAGGGTCAGAACCGGGGCGGATCCGGGTCAGCGCCCACTGAACTAGCTGCTGGGCTGGGACCTCGGGGACTCCCTGACGGGCTTAAACGTGTCTGGCCCAGCACTGGTGGGGGGTGAACATCAGCTCAAACAATTCTTATCTTAAATAAAACCCATCTGTACATCAAAAATTATTTTAAAACACCTAAAAGGTAAACAAAGTGAAACAACTGATAAATGCACTGGAGCTGGAGGGCTCAAATTCTGAAACAGAGAAAGCTTTAGCAAGTCTACAGTAAAATGATTTACAATCTACTTCATAAAAGCTGGGCAGAAGAAATGATTGGAAAATTAACAGAAGAGAAAAAGTGTTTGCAGATACATGAATGACCATTCCACTCGGTCAGTAGCAGCAGGCCTGCCTGCAGGGGTGCGGCCCAGGAGGTGGGCGGGTGTCCTGGTCGCTCCGTCCCCTCTGTCCCCAGAGCACCCACCCCCTGAAACCTCGCAAGGCTGTGCCCAGGGGCCAGCTGGACCTGCTCTGAGTTAGAGCTCAAGGACCTAGTGAAAGAGCTGAGCTGGGTGCATCCAGACCTCTCTTTCAGCCTCCTGCTCAGCCAGCAGCTCTGGGAACTCCGCCTGGGACGGAGTTCTGAGCAACCCCCTAGCACTCGAGCAGAAAACTGATGACGGAAACCCCAGCGGGGGTTGTTCTTCCTCCACTGGGATGTCTCTTCAGAAGGTGTGAGATGGTGTGATAACTGGAAAAGCACTTGTGATTGGAAGTCAATTTGATTTTTGAAAGTACAGTATGAGGTTTCATATTCCAAGTGCTGCCAAACAGTGCAAACTTCAGGACAAAAAAAAAGACTAGAGAGACACCCCGGCACCTCCACACGGCTGATGCTTGCTTGGTAATTATGGTTATGGTTTTGTTTTCGCTTTTCTTTCATGTTTTCCTGTAGTTACCAAATGCTGTACACAGATGGGAAACTGCAAAGACATACACACTTACTTTTCCTCTCTGACTGCAGGAAAGCCCTGGTGATTGTACTGACTTAAATGTTTATAGGTCTCCTTCAGAATTTTGTTGACATCTTCAGGTAAGTCATTTTGATCCAGTTTTCTAGAATGGAGATTAATTTAATCAAATATTAAATAACCAGAAGATCCTGTCATATTTCTTTAAATTATTCTAAAACCAGTTTAGTCTATGAACTTGTGTCCTCCACGAACAGAAGGCCTAGGTAACACCTCCTGCTTTCTCTCCACCGGTCTCCTGGTGACCCCTCACAGCTCCTCTGCCCGCACCCCAGGCCAGCCTCTGTCTTCCTCTGTCACTAAGAAGGAGCCCAGAGAAACTATGCACAAGCCATGCACCCAGGCCCAGGCCCACACCAACAGCCCACCCGGAAGGGAGGCGGGCTCCTTCCCATCGGCTGGGTCCAACCCAGACCAGCTTCTGCCTCCCTCTGGAGAGCTGTCCTTCCCACTCACACACCGGGACCTCCCCACTCACACGCACCCAGACTTTCCCACTCACACACCGGGACCTCCCCACTCACACGCACCCGAACCTTCCCACTCACACACCGGGACCTCCCCACTCACACGCACCCAGACCTTCCCACTCACACACCGGGACCTCCCCACTCACATGCACCCAGACCTTCCCACTCACACACCGGGACCTCCCCACTCACACACCGGGACCTTCCCACTCACACGCACCCGGACCTCCCCACTCACACACTGGGATCCTCTTACACACTGGGACCTCCCCACTCACACACCGGGATCTCCTCACTTTTTGGGAGCTGCCGGGATGCACCCAGTCCTTGACAAGGTCATGGGACGGGAGAGGAACCTGCAAGGCAGCGCTTCCTCACATGGGGCTGCCCCGGGGGCCCGGTATGTCCCCTCCGGAGCCGCTGGGACGAGAAAGGAACCGGCAAGGCAGCTCTTCCCCTCGAGGTTGTCCCAGGGGCCCGGTATGTCCCTTTCTTCCTTCTGTCTTACTGTTGTTGGGCTTTCTATTAATTTTTGGAAATGATAATATATAGTAATAAGGCCACGCTGGAAAAGTCCAAGCCTTTTTGGAAATGCTCAAGATTGCTCTGGCTCAGGACACGACCATAAATATCAAGTCGTAAAAGAAAAGGCCACAGGTATGGTATAGTTTGGCTGCTTGCTTAAAAGATTATAATGTTCTAGAATAGAAAAGAGTAGAGGTGTTTAGATTTAGAAGTAGACATACTGCTTTAGTTTACTTGCTCCTTGGTTGAAAGGGTTTTCACTATTGCTATTTCCTTTCTGCTATTTGTTCATTGTTTCCCTTTCTTTAAACAACATGGGATATTATGGGTGTTTTTGTAAAATTAGAAAATGGAGTATATAGGATTTTAATAGAAGATTTATATTAACCAGCTTTACTGCCATTATCTTACTATTAATAGAGGTGTTTTGCTGCTTTAGAGGTGTTTTTGCTGTTTAATAGTTAATCGTTGTACATTGAGATTTTGTGGTTTCAGGTAAAGAAAAATATCAGGTTTTTCTCATGGTACTATTTTCAGAAATGTCAAACATGTTACTGTGACCCTTCCCATGTATTGTTTTATTGTCCAATACCTGAGATTTGTGGAACATTGTTTTTGTTAACAGTGAGAATGTTAGGCCATTGAGGCAAGAAGACTATGTACGGGCCATTTACGTATAAACCCTGTAATCAGAAACGTTCTAGATGAATGCTTAGGGGAAAAACATGGGGAAAAAAATATTGACGGAAGCACAAACCAACATCTGATGTAATACGTGGTGATTTAAGGGGAAGGTAACATTCATTCTATAAAAACTGAGCTATCCTAAAAAGAAAAAGAAAAAGCTACCTCTTGTACGCAACCGTCTGTGTGTGTGTGTCTGTCTTCCTCGCCAACGCCACTCATCCCTCGGGCACTCCTGGTCCTGCCGGGGCTGGACCTCGGCACTCACTCACACCGAGCTCTCCACCACCCCATTCCCCACGTGTCCCGGCAGCGGGCCTCTGCCGGGGACAGTCTCTCCCTACTCTGGCCCAGTCCTGTCAGGGTTTCATGCAGACTGCGACCTTCTATCAGTCTCATGGTCAAGCCTCAGGCCTCCTCTAGGGCCATCAGAAGCATCTGACACGGCTGCTGTCCTCCGCTTCCTAAAAGCCACCCACCCCACTGCCTGAGGAGCGCACTCACTCCGGCCACCTCTCCCGAGCCTCTCAGCAGATGGAGGCAAGGTCGGGCCTGCCCTGCAGCCTGGCCGCCTCTGCACACACACCTCCGCCCGGGGCACAGAGCCTCCTGGGCATCTGTCCCCCGCCCCAGAATACCTACGCTTTTAGCATATTAATCTGGAAAGTGACAGACAGGCTGATCGAACTTCTCCTTTCTTCCTTTAACTGAAGCTCGTCCATTAGTTCATGTTGGACCTGTTATAAGATGGAACAGAATACCGAGATTTAAACAAACAGTTAGGAAGAGGCCAGATATTGTGTTTAGCTATTATTTTGCAAACGTCGCTCCTTTAAGAACTGCATTTGTAACTGACAAATATATTCTCATTTCATATGCTTTATGCTTAGCTTTGCACATAATGATTTCAGTTAAATTTTATACATAAAATGAACAGGTGATGAATGCTCTTTACACACCCTGTCGCAGTTGATTATTTTATGAAGTTTCTGCTAACTTTAAAAAAAAACTCAGTGTGGTTAAAAAGGAAACGCTCAGTCATGAGGAAGGAAAAGATTGTGTTTCGTCCTGTTTATGCTTGTATGTATGCATGTATGTTTTTATATCTCTCAGCGCAGGGTCTCGGCTGTTCATACGTACTTTTCTGAATGACGGCATTTAAGAAAATGACTTCTTTCTGCATGTGTGAGTGCTCCAACTTACCATAAGGGCAAACATTTGCCGGTATTTCTGTGGCACATGGGCCTTGATGAACGGTGCCGCGGTGGCACAAAACCTTGCAGCCTCCGCTTTCTCCCCGGCCTGCAAGTAACACTCCAGAAGCTCCCTGCATGATACAAGAACGGTGCACGCTAGACCTGCACAGTCACAGTTCCTGCCACTGAGGTCTAATAACCAGGTTGCATACATGCTTGCTAAGTCACTTCAGTCGTGTCCCACTCTTTGAGACCCTATGGACTGCAGCCCTCCAGGCTCCTCTGTCCATGGGATTCTCCAGGCAAGAATACTGGAGTGGGTTGCCATGCCCTCCTCCAGGGAATCTTCCCGACCCAGGAATTGAACCCGTGTCTCTTAAGTCTCCTGCACTGGCAGGCAGATTCTTTACCACTAGCATCACCTGGGTTATCATATTTTTATTAATTTTCTGTTTTACAAAGTTCAGAAAGATACAGAGATCGGGCAGCTCCTCACCCATGCACCTGACTGGCCCAGACCTAGGGTGCTGGGCCCCCACTCGCAAAGGGGTCAGGGCCTGTCCAGCTGTGATTCTGAGAACCTCAAACAACAGCCTTCAGAGAAAGAGCATGGTTTTACTGATTTTCTGTTAAAGCTTCCCCAAACTTCCATAAAAGGTGAGAAACACCTGCAGACCCTGGATTCCAACTTCAGGGCTGGCCCTCTGGGCCCTCCCGGCATCCACGTAGTCGCTGGCCACACACAGCGCCCCCCAAATACAGGAGAGCGTCACCAAGTGCCTTTCAGCCTGCCCTGCCGGCCGGGACCATCTGCTGGCCCCACAGGGCCCTCCGTCCCGGGGCTGGCGTACGGGAGGCAAGCTTCCCTAGACAGGGCACGCATTCTGGCTGGGTTGTCTGTTGCTAGAATGCCTACTTTCACAGTCCCTTTATTTCCTGGGTTTTGAGTAGAAGCATGCTTCCTGTGCCAACGCCAGTCTGCTCGGGACACCGTGGTGCCTTCCGCAGCGTTCAGAAACTCCTGCGGACAAGACGCCCCAAAGCTGGTTCCAAGCGCAGACCAGGGCGCAGTGAGGGGCCGGCGGGGGCGGGGACTCACAGCATCAGCTCTGCCTGCCACTCCGTGTCCTCCTCCTCCGTCTGACTGAGCGCGCTCACCATCTGCGCCAGGCTGGGGACCAGGCGCTGGCGGTAGCCAGGCCTGAGAAACGGCCTCGCCATCCTCCAGTACAGCAGCGACGCGTTGTACACCAGGAAGTAATACCTGCGGCGGCCGGCAGGGGGCGGTGAGGGCCCGGGAGCGGCCACCTCTGTCCTCAGAGCTTCAGCTCGCGGTTAGGCTTCGGCCCCCAGACATCCCTGCTGAGGAAGGGTCCTCAGAGCTGGGCCCTGTATCCCCGGCACCGAGGAGGCTGTCCGCGAATAATCCTAGGCTGACACGCATCTCCTAGGGCTGAATGTGTCCTACTCAGATATGTGTGTAAACACCAGTTTGTATGCAGACTTAACAATTTCAGTAATACTTCTTTTTGATGATGTATTAACTAAGTGGAAAACTGTGCTGGAGTTCCAGGAGAATCACCCCTCCAGACACAGGCCTTGGGCCAGGGGGTGTACAAGGCTGCAGGGGGAGGGCAGGGAGGGGCCCAGTGCCTGCCCCCCAGAGAGGACGGAAAAGGGGACTCCTGGGCACCGGCCAAGGGTGAGGCTGCCACAGGGACAGCAACCAAAGGCCATCTGCAGGTCACAGAATGTGCACAGGAAAGAGGGTGCAGCCAGGGCAGACGTGAGTGCACGCGGCCCAGCTCCAGCGTTAGGAGACTTGAGCGCACAGCCAGAGCTGCAGTAAAGCACGGACAAAAGAAAACAAAACCCTGTCACCTACACAGACAGAACCACCTGCCAAATTCTGGCTCCAAACCTTTCAATTAGAAATGGCCGACCCATCATGCCCACCTTGGTTCTCCTTTGGCAAAGTTGATTGCCTTCATGTACTGAGTCACACAATTTTCAAATTCCTCCTAAAACAATATAAAGAATTAGGTCGAACGGCCAGCCCCCTCCCTGAAAGCCCACCCCCTACCCCCTGTGAGCAGGCATGACCACAGCACTAGGACACAAAGGTCAGAGTTCAAAAGGACACAAGCCAGACCCCAGAGCTTAGGGAACAGCACAGACGGAAATGCAGCGTCGCACTTCACTGAAGATAAGCCCGGTCACCCAGCTCCCAACAAAACCACGCTGGAGGTGGGGGCGAGATGTGGAACTCTGAGGAGACTCAAAGGGACTCAGGGGAAATACGGCAGGGCCAGCAATAAAGTATTCATCTCAGGACGGCAGACGAGCTACGGGTGCCCTCCGCTGCGCCAGCAGACTCAAGGTTGTGGACTCCAAGGCTTCATCACTTAAAAGGAAGAGAATCAGGAGGACCCAGCACGCGGGGCTCAGGGCTGCCTCTCACCATGTTTTCCGTGGACTTGGGGGCACACAGCTGGGCCCTGCACAGGTGCGCCCGGCCCAGAAACTGGGTGACCGGCCCCTTCACCTTGAAGTACATCTGGATGCAGTCCTCACTCACCTCCCGCTGCCCCATCTGTGTGAGAACAGAGACCCCAAGAGGCTGGGAGGCCGAGCAGCCCGTGGACCACCCACCAGGGGCCGCGCTTCCCAATCCCAGTGAAAACCAGGAGATCGGGGTCCCCTGAAGCTGCGTCCCTAGGAGCCTTGGGACTAATCACCTTCAGGGCCTGCTCTGCACATAAGACGAACAGGTCCGGGCTGAAGCTCTCTGTGGGGTCGAACTCGGACTTGCCCAGGTTGGCGGACTTAATCAACTGGTAAGCCCTCTTCAGAGCGTCAGCGTCTACCAGGACAGGAGTGAGGAAGACGCGGTCATCAAGCGGCCACCGCGCCGCAGAGCAGCCGCGGAGACCGTCAGGAGGCCCAGGACGGGGCTGGAGTCGGGCAGGCTGGGCCCCGCTGGTACGCTCCTCTCCAGGGGAGGAGCCCGGGGAAGGTGCTCCGAGACCAGCCCGAGAACCCCGCGGCAGCCCTGCGGCTCGGGCTTCGGGAGCCCCGCGAGGTGAGTGATTCCGAGGAACAGTTAGAAAAAACGAAAGCTTTCCTTTAAAAAGGCGCCTCAGTTTACCCTGGCCAGACACATCCTGGAAGTGCTGGATTCAGGGGGTCACTGGATCAGGTAGGGCAGGGGTCAACAGGGTGGGGAGGGGGTCCTGGCGGGCCCCGGGGTCTCCCCGGGGGCTGGATTCAGCGAGTCCCCGGGCCTCCCCGGGGGCGGGGGACAGGCGGGTTCTGGGGTCTCCCGGGGGCAGGTATCCCCAGGTCCCGGGGTCGTCCCAGGGGCTGGGATCCAGTAGGTCCCGGAGTCCTCCCGGGGGTGGGGGTCAGGGGGTCTCGACCTCCCCCGCCCACCCTGTTGGCTCTTGGCGCGGGCCAGCTCCTGTGTTATGACCAGGTCCATGGCGGCGGCGTCCGAGGTGCCCACTGCCGGAGGTCGGTTGGTTTTCTCTCCGCTGGGCTTCGGGGTTGCCTAGCGACAGAGAGGGACGCGAGACTACGGGTCGGCGGCGGGACCAGACTTGTCCGGAGGCTCATCGCGCCGGCGCCCACCAGCCCCGCGGAGAGGGCCTGGGGAGGGGTCTGGGGAGGGGTCTTGGGAGGAGCCGGGGCGGGGGCCTGTTGGGGGGCGGGTGCTGGGCGGAGCCGGGACCGCACCCTCGCTGGCGGGTCCACAGCCCTGCCCCCGCCGCTGCCCACGCCCCTGGCTGGGCTGCAGACCGCAGCTGCCCCCGGGCCGCGCTGGATTCTGGGGGTCCTGGTTGGGTGTCGCTAGTCCAAGATGCCTTAGCTTCCGGCCCTGGCCCTCGCCTGAGCCCCTCCTGCTGCTGCTGCTAAGTCACTTCAGTCGTGTCCGACTATGTGCGACCCCATAGACGGCAGCCCACCAGCCTCCCCCGTCCCTGGGATTCTCCAGGCAAGAGCACTGGAGTGGGTTGCCATTTCCTTCTCCAATGCATGAAAGTGAAAAGTGAAAGTGAAGTCGCTCAGTCGTGTCCGACTCTTAGCGACCCCATAGACCGCAGCCTACTAGGCTCCTCCATCCACGGGATTTTCCAGGCAAGAGTACTGGAGTGGGGTGCCATTGCCTTCTGTGTGAGCCCCTCCTAGCCCCCCAGAAAGCGGCCCTGTTCCTCAGCATGTTCACTCATGTGTCCTGCAAATAGTTCTGTGCCCCCTGCTGCTCCCTGGGGCTGATCTGGGCCTGCAGGATGGACGGACCGCCCCCGTGGGGGAGGACACGACACCCTCATGAGTATCTGTGCGCCCCGCCCTGCAGGGGAAGCAGGGAGCCTGCCCTTGGTAGAGAAGGCCCGTCCCTGGAAGGGCCTTGGGGGAACGCCCAAGCTCAGGGCAGATGAGCTGAGGTCTGAAAGAGGGGACAGTGCTGGACAGAGGAGGGGTGAGGACGCCGAGGGAGTAGCCTCTGCCGAGGTCTGGAGGGCGGGGACAGGAGAGGCCACCGGCAGGGCAGGTTCCCCTTCCTCCGCCTGAAACGGTGTGTGCGGGTCTGAGCGTGTTCTGGCCCCAGGGGAAGACTGATGAGAGGGCACGGGTGAGGAGTGTCGTCCACCGGCGGGGTGAGGACGCCGAGGGAGTAGCCTCTGCCGAGGTCAGGGTGGGGGAGTGAGCATGGGGAGGAGTGGGAGGGAAAGACTTTGACCCATAATTCTGTCCAGAAGTCCGGCTCCAATGGGGAGGTGATGTGGGGCCTTTGGGGTCTGGGGAGGGGTCTTTTAAAGGTTTATAAGACAACTGAGCACTTTTATCCATAAACAAAGTGATCATGGAAGTTAAAAATCCTGTGGCATCTACAAAACACTGCACCTAGCAGGACCAGTGCCACGGTCCTGCATACACAGATGGCAATTGTGTATCCTGACAGCCAACAGAGAAGGGCAGAGATGGAGCACTTAAAACAGCATCAAAACCAACTACTGTGGAATAAATTTAACAAAAGGTGTGTTAGTAGTGATCCACAGAAAACTAGAAGCCCCCGTGAACCCCAAGCTCGTGAACCAGGGCTCACCTGTGACCCAACCTTCTCTCCAGGCTGATCTTTCCTCTTGGCACAATCTCAGAGTCCCAGCAGCGCTTTTTGGAAATTGACAGTGATTCTGAAGTTTACATGGAAACACAAAGGGCCTGGAATGGCCAAGATTGCCTTGAGGAAGAACAACAAAGGTCGGGGACACGCCTGGATTTGGAGACTTACTCTAAAGCCGGGGTGTTTCGGACAGTGTCCTGTTGGTGAAAGACAGACGAATAGATGACAGGACACACAGTTGAGAACCGAGCCACATGCGCTCGCCAGATGTGCCATTTCGAGAGGGAAAGGCGAGTCTCGGCAACAAGGATGCCAGGACAGCTGGGCAGTGAGTGGCCAGGGACCCGCATCATAGCTTGGACAGAGCTGATTTGAGGTGGGCCACAGATAGACTTTGAAAGAAAAATGTAAGTGGGTACAGCTCCTTGAGTAAAACAAAATACTTCGGCGGGAGAGGGCGGCAGACAGGACCAGTGGTCAGCCAGTGGCCACCTTGCCTGGGAAGCTGAGGGAGGCCAGGTGGTCTGGGGAGGGGTGCTGGGTGTGGAGGAGGGTGGGGTGGGTGGAGAGAGGCTCCTGTGGGACCTGGGTCGGGGGCTGTGAACCCCAGTTGGCACCCTGTCCCTTGAGTCTCCCACAGGGCCCAGCTGATCACAGCCAGAGCTGGAGAAGGTCCCCTGGGGCCCAGGGCGAGGGAGGCTGAAGGAGCAGGTGAGGGGCTGCAAGTGCTGGACAGAGGTGACCAGGAGCGAGAGCTGGCGGACAGAGGCGGAGCAGGGTCTTGGAGCCCTGCACTGCCTGGGCCCCTGGGGACGTGGCCAGAGGAGCCCGGGAGGCCAGCCCGGGAGGAGGAGAGTGTCGTGGGCTGTTTGACGGTGGCCAAGGGGCAGCCGAGTGCCTCTTCCTCACTCATCCTCCTGCCTTCGGGGAGGTCTTCTCTCTGCTCCCCTCGTCCTCAGGAATCAACCCTGGTTTGGGCAGGCATGAGATGGTCCCGGTACGCACCTCCCGGTACGCAGTGTCCTGGTCGCTGTGACGTGGCCACAGGGGAGTGTCCTCGCAGGGAGAACACCTGTCCTTGGCGCTTCCTTTTGTCTGCTGCTGGGAGAGTGGCTGTGAAAGCCAGAGGCTGAGCAGCCACTTTGTGCCTCGAGGAGGAGACCGTGTGCTGGGTGAAGGAGCCCCGTCTCCTTACGCAGGTGGCTGCTCCGTCAGGGCCTCATGGGACGGAGAAGCAGACTGCTCTTTCAATGACTCTGCAGCTGCTCCTTGTTTCCTGAGAAACCCCAGCTGACATCATCACCAGGGCTTTAGCAATGCCCATGGGTGAAGGTTAGGGCCCAAATGCAGACCCCAGGGCAGTGGTCCACTGGTCCACTGGAGCAGGGAATGGCAAACCACTTCAGTGTTCTTGCCTTGAGAACCCCATGAACAGTATGAAAAGGCAAAAAGATAGGACACTGAAAGATGAGCTCCCCAGGTTGGTAGGTGCCCAATATGAGAAGAGTGGAGAAATAACTCCAAAAAGAATGAAGGGATGGAGCCAAATCAAAAACAATGCCTGGTTGTGGATGTGACAGGTGATGGAAATAAAGTCTGATGCTGTAAAGAGCAATATGGCATAGGAACCTGGAATGTTTTAGGTCCATGAATCAAGGCAAATTGGAAGTGGTCAAACAGGAGATGGCAAGAGTGAACATCAACATTTTAGGAATCAGCGAACTAAAATGGACTGGAATGGGTGAATTTAACTCAGATGACCATTACATCTACTACTGTGGGCAGGAATCCCTTAGAAGAAATGGAGTAGCCCTCATTGTCAACACAAGAGTCTGAAATGCAGTACTTGGATGCAATCTCAAAAATGACAGAATGATCTCTGTTCATTTCCAAGGCAAACCATACGATATCACAGTGATCCAAGTCTATGCCCCAACCAGTAATCCTGAAGAAGCTTAAGTTGAACAGTTCTATGAAGACCTACAATACCTTCTAGAACTAACACCCAAAAAAGATGACCTTTTCATTATAGGGGACTGGAATGCAAAAGTAGGAAGTCATGAAATACCTGGAGTAACAGGCAAATTTGGCCTTGGAGTACAGAATGAAGCCGTGCATATGCTAATAAAGTTTTGCCAAAAGAATGCACTGGTCATAGCAAACACCCTCTTCCAACAACACAAGAGAAGACTCTACACATGTACATCACCAGATGATCAATACCAAAATCAGATTGATTCTATTCTTTGCAGCCAAAGATGGGGAAGCTCTACACAGTCAGCAAAAACAATACTGGGAGCTGACTGTGGCTCAGATCATGAGCTCCTTATTGTCAAATTCAGAGCTAAGTTGAAGAAAGTAGGGAAAACCACTAGACCATTCAAGTATGACCTAAATCAAACCCCTTATGACTATACAGTGGAAGTGACAAATAGATTCAAGGGATTAGATCTGATACACAGAGAGCCTGAAGAACTATGGACGGAGGTTCATGACATTGTATAGGAGGCAGTGATCAAGACCATCCCCAAGAAAAAGAAATGCAAAAAGGCAAAATGGTTGTCTGTGGAATCCTTACAAATAGCTGTGGAAAGAAGAGAAGCAAAAGGCAAAGGAGAAAAGGAAAGATATGCCATTTGAATGCAGAGTTCCAAAGAACAGCAAGGAGAGATAAGAAAGCCTTCCTCAGCGATCAGTGCAAAGAAATAGAGGAAAACAATAGAATGGGAAAGACTAGAGATCTCTTCAAGAAAATTAGAGATACCAAGGGAACATTTCATGCAAAGATGGGC